CCGCCCCAGGGAGGGGGTGCTGCCAGTGGGGCGCGGGAGGGGCGTGCCCAGGTCCCTAATCCCGCTCCCACACCCCCCGCGGCCCGCGCCCCCGAGCCCCGGCTGGTTCCGCGCGCGGCTCCTTTCCCGACTCGACGCTGCCGGCAGGACGCGAGGGCCAGGCCCTCCGGAGATTGCCGTGGATAGGCCAGGGGTGACCCAGGAGCGAGGAGCTGGCTAGCGAGGGTGAGCGTGGTGCCAGAGCCCTGGCGGCCACCAAACCAGAGTCCGAAGAGCCCAGTAGCTTCTCCAACCTCAGCCTTCCGAATGGAGGCCGGGGAGCGGGTTGCGAAGCAGCCGCGCGCACTCACCGCGATTCTCAGCCCAAGAGGGAGAAACCCACCGCCGTGGGTCAGTACTAATATTGACAATTTATACGGCTTACAACCTGCCACGTTTGCTCGGCGTAGGGGCAGGGGGACCGAGGTCTCAGCCTGAACTGCGGGCGCAAGTTGAGGGCTAGGCGAGACCCAGACACCAATTCCCGCAGCATTCCTAAGATTTCCAGGGACAGAAAATGGCCCAGGCTTGGGTTTTGAGCACAGTAAAACTGGCCGTTCCTCCGAGAGCCTCAGTCGGCTCTGCGGGGTGCATAGAGCAGCGGGGGTTTCCTGCTGTCCCGCACCCAACGCTCTGGGGCTTGCGCCCGGGCCTCTCCCTGCCCAGCTCAGGGTCCCCTAGGCCCTGCAGCTCCCACTGATTCCGCCAGTGGCCCGCCACTGAGCGCACCCGAATCGCCGGTTGGCGTCATCCGCTCGCGGCAGGTCCCCGCTGGCCACAGGCCGCTACCGAAGCAACGGAGTCCCGTGGAGATGCCATCCCCACCCCCAACCCAGGACCAGTCTGTCAGAGCCAGACTTGCGCCCCTGATGGAACTGTGGCTGGTGGCGCAGAGTCTGGGCCTGGTGATGTGGGGATCTCTGGCCTCTCCAGCGGGGACGCACCCACTTGACATTGCCAGTCTGGGGAAGGAACCTGGGTGTTGCGAGCAGGGCAATCCCTGAAGATTGGAGAGTCCCCCCACACATACCCTTCCACGTAACAGGTGTAACTCCTACCCACCTTCTCCAAAAGCCATGGTAGGGATTGTGGGCACAGAGGGGAAGAGCTCACAGCTTTGGCTTCACAAACCCATGAGGAAAGTGAAGCTCCATAGAAATGGGGGAGAGCCTCCAGGGAGCCCCGTCCCATTGCTCAAGCTCCCAGGCCTGCGCCAGCTGTGCTGGTCCTTGGCCTTGGGAAGCAGCAGGAGTAGAAGGCAGGGGCCACCTGCCTTGCAGATACAGTACCACTACAGGGGCCCCTGCGGGGCTGCTGCTGGGGCCCACCCGCCCTCTCTGGGCTCAGCCCCATTTTCCCCAACCCCTGAATGCTGGGCGCCCCCGAGAACCCAGCACAGAGGCCCAGGCCCGAGAGACAGGCCGAGGGGAGGAAGATAAACAAGCGGCGCTTGATGGCCGCTGTCATCATGGCCGTCATCATGGCTTTCATTTGGCTGCCTAATGAGTCACATCACAGGCAGAGAGAAAAATTGTCAATCGCCCGGGCCCTAATGAATTTTTTTGCAAATTGTAATCAAGCCAGGCCGTCTCAGCTGGCTGATTAATGAGACCCACGAGGCTCGGCCAGCACCTCAGCTTTTTATTCCATCCCGTCCTCCCTGCACTAAATTAACAGCAACTTGTCTGAGCTTCAAATTAACTCCCAATGATTAATTCTGATGGGGGGGCCTGAAGAATAGCTTGTTCTAATAGGCTCTGGCCTGAGATGCTGTTGGAAATTAATACACTTCCCCTTTGGCTGCCGGCTTTAATCCAAGGTTGGGTTTTGACATCACTATATTTGTTGTTACAATAAATTCCACTTACATCTGCAGATCAAATAATTACGCTTGGGAGCGCCGTGGACCTGTGCCCCTCCTCCCAGCGCTTGGGCTCCTTGGGGCTGCCCACACCCGGGAAGGGGCCTGAATGGGGCAGCAGGATCTGTCACCCGACCCCGAGAACCCCAAGCCTAGCCCCTCAGGGAGCTGGGCACCCCGGCCTTTGGAGAACCAAGGGTACTTTGAAAACCCATAGCTATGTCTCCACGTTCTGGGGACAGGGCCCTCTTAGAATGGTCTTGGACCTCAAACAACTTCCTCCCCCTGCTCCCCGCAGGGGCCGGGAGCACCACTTGGAGCACCTTGGGCCCCCAGTGCTTGGACTTTACCGATTCCAGTCACAGCTGGAATTTTGGAGACAGTGCACACTTCGGAGCCCAGTTTTCACCTCCCAGTCTTCATCCCCAGGGTGGTTCTTTCACAAGGCCTTTCTAGCTAAGTGGGGTGAGGTGGGATGGGAGTCTTCCGGGTCTCTGGAGACCAGGTTAGCTTCCCAGGACCATCCCTATGCTATGCTTGTCTGCGCGCCAGCTTGTCCTCACTAAACATGTAGCGGGCACGAGCACCTGCATTCCCAGACGCCCTTCCTCTCAGGGGCAGAGCCGCCCCATCTTGGGTCTGTTTGTTCGAATTTAATTGGCTTAATCATTTCAGCTGTGGATGGCAAGCCACGCATGGGGCTTCCATGCAGCTCCCTCCCACCGGGGCCTGTCCCAAGCAAAGCTGTGCTCTGTCCCCCTTGGCGGGGGCTTCTGTGTGCTCAGAAAGCCAGGAGGGACACACTGGTGGCTTCAGGATCTGATCACCACCTGGCCCTCGCCTCGGGGCCTTCTCAGCTCCCTGTGACGGTCCTGCGTGGGGGTCCCGAGTGGTTGAAGCCAGGCACATTTTGCAGCCCTGGTGGCAGAATCGGTCTCTGCGCCCTCTCCTCTCACCTGTGGGAGGCCTGGGTGACCACGCGGCTGAGTGGCTTGCCCGCGCCAGCTCCCTGGGGGAGGAAGCTGCTGGGTATGGCCCCTCTTTCTGTCCCGGGAGACTCCAGCCCTCTGCCCAGGCGCACACGGCTGGGGCAGGAGGCCTGCTTGGACCCTCTGATGTGCCAGGGCTTCCCAGAGGTCCAGGGCGCGGTGGGGCCTCTTTCCCTCCAAAAGCTCTTTGCCGGCGCGTGGGGACTCTGGGGTCTAGGGGGCGCCGCAGTTCGGGTTCCAACGGGAGTTGCCCGGGTAAAGGGAGGGGGCATTAATATTCATTTCGGGCCCTTATGGTGTAAACAGGAGAAATATGATCTTGATAACTGAACATGAATGCAAATCACACCGTCAGAGTAATAAAGCACCTGAAACCCCGACACACAAAAGCAACACCATATGTATGAAGACAACCTGCATAAATTATAAATTACTCCATAAAAATTGATTGCCTATTTGAACAGTTCAGAAGTGAGAGGCCTAAGCTGACTTCCGCCCTCTCTGGCTTTGGGAAAGGTCAGGAGTGCATCCCCCTCTGCGGGCCCGAGGACCCGGGAAACTGGGCCCAGAGTCTCCAGCCAGCGCTGCGGACCCGCTTGCTTGCCGGGGAGGCGGGGAGTGCTCCCTGCACCGGGGCCTCACCGCGGGCCCCACATGACGAGGAGGGGACAGGTCCGAACCTCAGGAAGCCCTCCAGGGCTCAGCGTGGGCTGGGGGAGAGGTGCCACTGCCCCCCAGACTGCTGTAGATCAAGGCCCAGTCTGGATCCCAGAAACTGCACCCACCATACCAAGGGAGGCTGCCTCTCTACCCCCGCCCTTCCAGCCTGGAGCGGTGCTGCCTGCTCAGGTTTCTGCCTCGGACCCAAAGGTCCCTGCAAGGGCCTCCCTCCGCACGGAGCCAGTCGGCTCTGTGATGAGCAGGGGTGTGAGTGTGTAGGTGTGGGTGGGTGTGTGATCGCCTGAGAGCGAGAGTAGGTGTGCAGTTGTGCGAATCCCCTGTCATGTCTAAGTCTGTTTTGCCGAGTTTCTGGGTTTTCCTGGAGAACCAAGAGTCCAACCCCACTGGAGAAGCCAAAACTCCTCTGGAGGAGCTGCTCCAAGGTGCCCAGCAAAGCTGAGTGCCCACTGTGTACTGTGCACCGAGTCGGCACCTCTGGGCTCCCCGGCACACTACACTTCCACGTGGGAAGTCCCTTCACCTGGCCTGTGCCTCTGAGCTCTACCTCCACTCCTGTCCCACCGCGTGAGGCCCCTA